ACTATCACAAATAATGCAGCATCTTTCTCAGTTTCCACGAAACTTTATTAATTGCGATTTTTAGGTAAACATTTGATTGTATATTACACTAAAAATCATGTAGCTAGACGAACAACTTATAATGAGCCTGAATTGAAGTTAAACATAACATCAAGTGTAGTTTATAATTTAAATAATGCGAAAGTGTCTCTTCTCCTGATGGACTAGCAAAAATTCGGTATGTATATATATATGTATGTATACATATATATATATATATATATATATATATATATATATATATTATTTCCCATACTAAGTTTTGTTAAATCAACAAAATATATGCTGCTTTCAGACATTGGAGCAAAAAATATCCTATATGTATAGAAATTGAGAACACAACTGTAAAGAATGATGATGTTTTTACTAACGAAGATTTTTCATTGGATAATACTATAACTAATTTAGAGAAAGGTAGAACAAGATTTTAATTTATGTTAAAAGATCTGTTTTATAAAATTTATTCTATTGTTGCAGATGACTGCAGTGATTCTACAACAACTAATACCTTTCATGATAACACACAAGAAGATGAATTTAAAGTAATAATTTATAATGAATAATTAAGATTTTTATTAGAAAATAACTAAATTAACTTATTCAATTATTCTTTCAATTATAGGATGTTGAAGATTATGAAGAAAATACATGTGCTAGAAATTCAGTGTCATCTTTAGTGAGTTAAATAGAATTAGTTTTTGTATTTTTATTATATGTTTTTCACATTTTATTATTTTCAATAGGGTGAAGATATAGAAACCAATTCAGATAATTCACATTTAAAAGAAGATAGACAAAGGCTGTTGTTATTTGCTCGTGCCAATCGAGAGAAATATGACTGGTTTGTAACTAGAAATGTTTTCATCTCTATCACTAATGCTTTATCAATAGCATTGAAAATGTGATTTATTAAATTTTAATGATTTTTTTTTTTTTTCAGGTATTTGCGAATACTCTCCACAATAAAATTACTTTCTGTGAAAAATAATGATAAGGAATCAAATGTCAAGGTAAATTGTTATTGTATTTAATATTTGAGATCAAGACATATAATAAGATATGTATACATTAATTTATTTGTGTCAAAAAGTATGCATATATTCAAATTTAAATTCATGTTCTGAAAAGTTTATCTAGTTTGATCAGAATTTAAATAAATTATGAAAATAACAAATTTATGAAAAAAGTGCATTTATGAATATGCATTTTCAAACATATCTACAAATTATGTACACCTATCAAATATGTACTCGTTTTTTGCACTAATTTTAGCCTTTACTAAAAAATAAGACGTTCATATGTTAATATCAATCAAGTTATTTGCTTCTAATATTTTAAACTTGTACTAGTAGTTAATAAATTAATATTTTTGGATTATATAAAAAGTTGTTAATTAATTTCATTGAAAAATTTTCAACTTTATTTTGTGCAACCATAATGAGAAAACCTTCTTATATTTACCATATTTAATTGATGCTATTAGATTTACCAATACCACTGCTTAGTCATAGTATTTGTGCTCTCTTTAGTGTTCAGATGATCGAGCATCAGGAAGTGAGTCAAGCCAAGATGAAACAAAGCAAATAGAAAAGAAAGAAAGTAGTCAAAATAACAATATCGGAACCAGTGATGTGGATTCTATATCTACAAATAGTAAATCTGGTGACTTTGAGAATGTTATAGCAGAAGATGCCTCCAAAAACAATGTATCTCTAATGGGTGACCAACAATATTTGAAATACATGGGTTATTTTCTACATGTGAGATTCTAATTGATAAGATTAGAATATTTATTTAAAAATTTAATAATTTATTTAATTGTATATAATTTAATGATAATCTAGAATTGCAATGTAATAAGAACTTATTCTTATATTTGTAAATTATTTTAAGAAAATTATCTTCCAATTCTAGATTTATATTTATAATTACATATAAAAGTTCCATTTTGTTTATATGTTATGATGTCATAATTCATGCATTAAATTATTATCTGCAGCCTTAATATTTACGATATTTTGATTTTAGGGAGACCATAAAGATGATACAAGTGAAATTAGCAGAGATTTTAATCTATCGATATCTAAAGATGTTCTCTGGTTTAATGTATTAGCTGGAAGAGTGCTTTTGGGTATTTTAAATGATCCTGGGTGGATTATGAAGATTCAAGAACGAATCCAAAAAAAACTTTCTACAATTAAGGTATCAAATGTTTAGAAGTATTTTCAAATTAATTGTTTTACAGATTGAACAAATATGAATCTGTGAATATTATTATATTGAAATAATTTAATAGTCAACCAAACTGTTATATTGTTTGAATTGAATCTTCCTTAATTAAATGCAGTTTGGATACATAGCATTGAATTTGATTATTTGATTTCATATATCTATATTTAGTTCATATTAGGCAAAATATAAATTTCTAATGATTGTGTTTTTTTTTTAGTTGCCTTATTATATAGATGAGCTGGAATGTTCAGAACTTAGTTTAGGCGAAACACCACCAAAGATACACCGTGCTTCTAAGCCCGTTATGAATGAAAGAGGTTTATGGGTTGATTTAGATGTCACGTATGAAGGTCTAGTCACTCTAGTCTTATCTACAAAATTAAATCTCATGAAGTTAAAAAAAATTAATGCAGCAGACACTGTGGATACTAATGATCCATGCCAAAGTTCTAAAGTAACATAAAATTGATTAGAGTTTGGTTATTATTTATTATATATTTTTAATTGTTTTATATGTTTATTCAATAGTTTCAAAATCAGAAAGCATCTGCAATTTACAATAGTGATCTAGAAGATAGTGCAGATAGTTCAACATCTGATGATCAAGTTCAAGATACAAATTCAGATAAAACGTAAATATTGTTTGTATTACTTTTATTACTGGAAAAGAGTTTACATTTTTTTTTTTTGTTATTAGATTTTCATTAGGTTCTATATCGCCAACACCCAGAAAGCAAAATAACAAAAGCTTTTTAAAAGTTGTTGATCAAGTTGCTGCCTCAAAGTTTTTCCAACAGGCAAGTCAAAATTAAGTATTATTATTGTTGAATTTTTAAGCTATTTGTAATGAATAAATGTACTAAAGTTTTTCGTATGATGAATATTTGATCAAGTTTTTATATAGAAATGTTAATTTGCATCCAATCGTTGAAGTAAAAGAACAATAAATAATGATCTATTTATTTATATGTTATGACACGGTATGTTCAGCAATTTTCCTTTATAGTTTAATAACATACCGTGTCGAAACGTATAAATACATTATTATTTATTGTTCTTTTATTTTGACGATTGGCTGCAAATTAACATTTCAAGTATATGTCACAATGTGAAACAATATATATATATATATATATATATATATATATATATATATATAAACTAGAGGGGTCAGATTACTGGATTATAATGGAAAAGTCATAATTTTTAATATACAATATTAGAAATAGCAAAAAAATTTAAAAAAGAAATGCCGAGAGCTTTGGTTGCGAGGGTGTTGAATTAGTGGAGGTGTCGGATTAGTGACATTCTACTATACATTGTTCTTTTATAACTTATTTTATAAAACTCATTTTTTTTTTTTAAAAAAAATTACAGGCAACAGAAAATAAATTCGTGAAAAAGGCTTTAGTTGCTGTAAGCAATAGTCAGTTACGTTTACAAGTAGATTTTCGTGGACTAATTGGGGAATTAGTTCTGAATATTCCAAATCCGCCTTCGGATAGATTGTGGTTTGGGTGAGTATTTATTAATTTTCATATTTACTTACATATTTATAAATTTTGAAATTTTTGAAAAAAACTAAAAAAAACAAATTGAGAAATTAATATTATTTATAGATAATGCTTTCACAAACACACTTTTTGTATTATTTAATTACATGGTAACAGTAAATTAAAATATTTTTTTTATTCATACGCTTAGGAACATCTGATTTTGTAAACTTTATTTCTATTCTTATTTAAATCAATATTTTTTTATGCATTTGATGGAGGCTAATTCACAAGTATACAGAATATACATTTTATATACAGCCTGCTATTTCTATTGTTGTCAATATAAAAAGTCATTCATTTCCGTCTATGACTAATATAAAAATCTTAAATTAATTTTGTCTTAATATTTATATATAAAGTCTTTTTGGGCAATTTTCAGAGTAAATATCTATTTACAAATTAAGTTTCTTATAAATTTAACAGGTGTATATTTGTATGCTTTTCATTTAATTTTTTTGTGTTATTGTTTGCTCTTCTGCAAATTTTAATGTGCATGTTCGAATAATGTAATGGTGTTACTAATGTAAGTATAATATAAATATAATTATAAGAATTATAAAACTTTACTCATACTGTTTTTATATGCCACTCAAAATAGGAATAGGAACGGTTAATTACATAAATAGAAATTAGCGCAATATTTATGTTACCATGATACATACAAACATGCATTTTTTATTTGCTAATAGTTTTTTTTCTAAGTAAAGCCATACTGAAATGATGTATACCTTTTGGTAATTCTATTATCAGTGATAATTACGATTTTATTCTCACTATTACAACTTAAAATATTATAAAAATATCTCATAATTTTAGATAATTAAATATAATGGCATTTTTTTAAATTTTATGTTGGTTATTAATGATCATATGAGTGGTCATTCAACATTTGTCTACATTTACAACTGAAATGAAAAACAACAAAAAAATTAATATGTTACAAGAAACACAATATTATAGAATTCTTTTAAATTTGTTTTAAAATTTTATATTGATCATAAAAATCAGGATTTCTATTCGATTTTTAAGATTTTTTTTATCGTAGTTTTCGGAAACCCCACGCATTTGGCTGACTGTTCATCCAGCATTCGGTGAGAGAAATGTAAATTTCACGTACGTGACGAACTGGATAGAGAAAAAATTTGTCAAGAAATTGTTAAAAATTTAGTACTTCCCAACATGGAGGACCTAATTATTCCTATCCTCTTACCCCAGACGTAGTTGCTAAATGAACTTTAAAATAAATGATAACGTTATGGAAGTTGCATTTATGTTATTTTGTTAATAATGTTTGTTCAACTCCTTATGCATAATGTTATCTTTCATAATTTTTATGCTCATCAGTACAATGTTTCGTTATATTTTAATAACGTTATTTTATTTTGAATCTACTAAATAACTTTTAAACCGGTAGCTCATTTCAGTATTACTTTAATTAAATTAGATTTTCTCATATGCTTTTACATATCTATTTGCATTTTTTATAATTAAAACCGAAATAATAGTTATCAGGCAGCTTAAATAAAGTATTGAAATTATTTTATTGGTGGATGCCATCCTTCACAACATCTATTTGGTAGCTCAGAGTAAAATAAATTAATTTGTTTAGTAAAATAATTGATTATATATCATTGTACAAACTATTATTCTTATACTGTGACACCAGTGAACATTAACATTAGATAAGATAAGATAAAAATACACAATGAAAAATTGTCAAATTATGTTTTTAATTTAATTGTTGACGTACCTGTGCCAGTTTTTAAACTCCTTTGTATGACTACAACACGAAAATTTTAGCATATGTTTGTACATATAATTTTTATTGTTTTTTTTTCTGTATAAATCTCTGGATAACTATTATTAATTATGATTGTTAATTTCTGAACTAAAAGTCCCTTTTTATATATAGTTTGGATTTTGCTTGAAGATGATGGAATGATTAAAAATCTCACAAATGATATTAATTCCAGTGATAGATCATAAGCAATCGCAAGATTTATAATACAATAAAATTATATTTATTTGTTCTAAATTTAGTATTTGAAAATAAGTATAATCGGTTGTTAAATTTAGATTTTTCGGAGAATTTTTATATTAGGGGTGAAAGGTTAATTAATTCGAATTAATTTACAATATTGGTTATATCATAACCCGCTTGCTAAAATAAAATATTTAATGAATTTACAACTGACAGCCACATCTGGATAATCGACCTCTTAGAATTTGTATAATTGTTTCTTTAATAATATTTCATAATGCTATTCGGTATTTCTGAGATGTATTATTTCGGCGCATCATATTCTTCTCGAGCGACCTTTCTTCGAAGGAAAAGCATTAGCTAATAAGAACTCTTACTAATATGAATACAATTTAACCGGACGTCGCAAACCTTGAAAAATGCTTTAAAATTTCCCATGAATGAACGTTAATTGGAATTGAAATCAATCACCACTTTTTAAAAAACATTAATTGTTGTGTGAGTAATAAAATGCATATACGTAATAACTCAATACCGATTCGTTGCGCGGGTCCCTTGACCTTTAAGAATCAATAATAAATTATTGTCCGTGTTTTCTAATGCAATAGTATAAATTATTATAAACGACCGATGAGAGAGATACACAGATTCAAAGGCTGTTTTGATTAATGAAGCAAGAATGGATGTGTTTAATATTTAATGATTAGAAAAATGCATCGAGCCGAAGCTAATAACTTTAATTGCGACTGTCAGAAGGATGTACTGTTGTACTTTTGTGATAATTAATAAAATATGTATATAAATTGATAATGAAAAAGTTATATTACCTTGGATTTTTAACAGAAAAAAAAATAAAAAATTGGCTGCAGACGGCTTCTATATACATTCTAGTTATAATTATTTTAATAATATATACGTTTTTATGTTAGTGTTAAGATATTGATTCAATAATTGTGATTCCATGAAATTATATGTATTTTCTCTTGATTAATTTTTAATCATTTTTCTGCATTATTCATGTGATAAGAATAGCTGTGCGTGATTCAATACTTGTAATTGATAATGTGATTCAGATATTGGTATAATTTAAAAGCTCACATTACCAACTATTATATCAAATATTAAATGTATTTATTTTAAAGAAGTTTCTGTAATATGTCTCTGATTTAGATATATATTATAAAAGAATTATCAATAAAATTGATTTAAAATTTTCAACTTCATGATTTTTATTCATTATATCAGATATATATGAAATATCTTAATAGTCTTTTAAATTACTCTTGTATAATAACCATAACTACTATTTTATTTTATGATAACGTAAAATTAAGAGTTGTATGGTTTTTTAGTTTAGAAAATTGTCTTTAGCGCCGCCTTATGGCGACATCCACTTGAAGATGTGTACGAGTGTCGTCTATACACGACACCGAGTGAAGCCAAGTCAACACTTACTTGGCTTCAAGATTCTTTATTTTGAGTTAAATTATAGAGAATTCTAATTTACTATTTTTAACTTCCCGTAGGGTTAGTCATTGCAATGGGCCGAAAATCGGAATTGAAAATTTTTACATTTATCGACGTTTTGAAGGTTTCTGAACATTTTGGCATACCTCAGAAAAAATGGATGTGTGTGTGTGTGTGCGTATGTATGTATGGATACAAATTTCCAGTCACGTTTTCGGGCGCTCGAATCAACCGATTTGAATGGTTTAAAAAACATTCGATTCCTATCGATAGGGAAAAGAGCTGATTAGTTTTTGGCAAAGGCAGGTCCAGCCGTTTCGTGGATACGTAGCAAAGAGTGCAGAAAATAGAAATCGACTTTTTGAGAGAACGGAGCATCCGATTTGAATGATCTAAAAAGCATTCAATTAGTAATGATTGGGAGAAGTGTTTATTAGTTTTTGGCAAAGGTAGGCCCAGCCATTTCGAGGAGCTAAGTATTCCTCGAATATTTCGTTACGGTACGGGAAGTCCAGCAATTTGCCTTAAGGCACGATAAGTTTCTCCAAAGTGTTATTTTTAACTTTTAATGTGTTTTTTTTATAATGATTGGTATCTTACATTTTAAAATATGTTACGTAAAAAATACTTGGGTGGCTTGGGTGGATCAAATTCGCAGCAAAAGGGTTAAATTTAGGTGTAAATGATGATGAAATTACTTTGATTTGACAAAAGTGGTATTCGAGATTTCGTGATTTTTTAGGAGATTGTTTCACATACAAGGCTAAAAAAATGCAAGAAAAAGAAATTTATTATTGCTAAAAAAGATTGTGTTCGCATGCAGATTGTTGCACGTTCCATGAAACGTTCAAGAGTCTATCAGTCTATCCATATACGTATATCAGCTAAACTTCATTTCGATAAATAAATTTTTTATATGAAAATTGGCCGAGCTATTGCACTTTAATTATAATTTCTACATTTTGTAAAAATTATGAGCGGGCATTATGAGATTCATGTTGATTTGCTCCTTTTGTGCCTACAAAATTTTAAATAGTATTCCAGCTGTTAGATAGTATCAATAATTAGGAAGGACCAAAGGAAGGAGTTGACCGTAATTTTTAAAAAATAATATGAATTAAGAAATCGCATCAATTTGGTTTCACGATCTCTTGCAATCTCGTATTCAATTTCAAATTTAATTTTTTTTGACAATCCTGAAAATATTTCAAAAATTCTAAAAATCTTCTGATATGAATTATGAATCGTTTTATCAGCGATCTATTTTTACAAGTCCTAAATTTTTTAGTAATATTGAGGACAGGCTTTCTTTGAAATGTTTCTCGACGTGGTCTTCAATAAATATTTTGGCCACAGTTTGGCCTGGTAGATTCTCTATTCTGTTGTTATTTTCTTGGCTAAACATTAAACATAACCATAATGAAAATTAATAACATAAATCATTCGCCAAATAAAGAATAAGTGATTTAAAAAGAAAAGACAAATGAAAATTGCATATATTGAGGTTCAAACAACTTACAATATCTTTGAAATAATTATAGATTCATTGCATATTTAATTCTTCAATATGAATTTGTATAGTCATAATTATGAGAAATTGTGCATGACCAAAATCTATGAATATATGCCCATTGTACAATGCCGTTTTGAATGTTTTGCCTTGTATTTATAATAATTACCATGAATCACGGTTATAACTGAATAAAGTCAATTTCAAAACGTTCGATGATCATAAATTTAGGCGACGGATGCATTATTACATTTTTATCTAAATTATTTTTCAAATTAATACAGGCGCGTCCGTTCTCGTTATGATAACAAGGCGATCGAGATTTGTTTCCCACAACATTAACACATTTCTTAACGATGAAATAATCTTCATTTGGTGAATGAAGATAAATTTAACTTTTAATATATAGAGAAGAACAGCTAATGTCGACCAATATTATTTTTCAATGTAATTAAAACAACTTGAAAAAAGTATTATATAATTATACAGTTGATGCATATATAATTATCTTTTTAATAAAAAATTATCTATATTTACCATTGAGATCTATGGCATCATTTGGTTGATGTGACCTACAATAATCACAGGACACAACACATCAGGTGAGATGTATTTAATCTTATGTAACAAAATATTCGTATTTCTTTTCTTATTTACTAATGCAATAATTTATCTTATATTTTCACACAGTTGACTTTACGACATCTACAAAACATAACATTTGTCACGTGAAAACCTGTGCGGGCCAATGGTAATTGAAGGTAAGGTAAATTATTATTACTTTTCTTTATAGTTTTTCTTATTTATTAGTATTATTTATGTAAATCAATAAATCAAATTTTTGCCATTTTTTTCTCTTCAACATTCTTGTGAGATGATGTTTGTGATTATAGTACTCCCAAACGGCTTGATTTTTATGAAATTTCATAGTTACATTCAATAGGACTGAAAATCGTTTAAGACATATTTTTCATAACCGTAAGTGGTAAGGGTTGCCCACCCTTAAATTTTTTTTTTTAATTTTTAAAGTTTTTAAAACCATTTATTTTTATTAAATAGTATATATACAAAATTTCAGTTCTCCAGAGCTCAGCCTTCTTTCTATTTGGTGAAAT